TCTCAAACCCGCGGGTTCAGGCAATCCACTCACCTCAGCCTCCCAAAGGTGCAGGATTACAGGTTGAGCCACTGAGCCCGGCTGGCTGGAGAGTTTTTTAAGCAGATGTATTAAGGGATACAACAGGCTGCACCACTGGATGGGTGTATTGGTGACAGGGTAGCTGGGTGGGTGGATAAGTAGATAGGTGGGTGACTGGGTGGGTGAATGGATGATGGATAGGTGAGTGAGTGGATGGGTGGATGAATGGGTGGGTGGATGGTTGGCTGGCTGGCTGAGTGGATGGGTATCTAGATGGCTAGATTACTGAATGGCGGGATGGGTGTATGGGTGTATGGGTATATGGGTGGGTGGATGGTTATCTGGCTGGCTGGCTGACTGGGTGGATGGGTGGTGGATGGATGGCTACCTGGCTAGCTGGCTGGCTGGGTGGGTGGGTGGGTGGGTGAATGGCTAGCTAGCTAGCTGGCTGACTGGCTGGATGGGTGGATGGGTGGGTGGGTAGACGGGTAGATGGCTAGATGAAGGGATAGATGGATGGATGGATGCATGGATGGATGGATGGACGGACGGATGGATGGATGGATGGATGGATGGGTGGATGGGTGGGTGGGTGAATGGATGGGTGAATGGAGGGTGGATAGATGGATGGTAGATGGATGGATGGATGAGTGGATGGGTGGATGGGTGGTTGTATGGATGGATGAATGGAGCTGTATACACATACATTTTGTTAATGGCAGCTGTATTATTTTCAATTCATATGGCAATACAAAGCAAGCAATAATGAAGTGTTGCTGGGGAGCAGATCTGCTAGACCTTGAATAGACCCCCAAATGGCATGCAGAGACTGTCCTAACTGGCACATGGTTTGAAGATGACTTCCATAAGTGCTTGAGAATGTGTTCTCTTTTGTAAAGTCAAATAGCCCCCCCAACATCTTGTTTACAATGATCCTTTGCTTAGTAAATCCTTTTTCCATAGTAACTAGCAAGAAGTTCAACTTCAGTCCATCCTGTGTTTGAATTACCCATAGTTTAAGTTGAGGGTGTACAAATCACTGCAGTTTCACTGAATCAAACTGCTCTCTCCTATGCACTCACCACAAAGGTGGCTGCTCTCAGCCTGAATAAGCCTGCAAGGACCTTGTGCTGGGAGCATGTCCTAACCTATTGTCCCCTTTGCGACCCTCCCTTCTTCTGCCAGCCCGGCTCACTGACAAGAGTCTTCATTTTCCACTTTATGGTCTAAAGATGAAAAAATGTTAATGGAGGGAAGGGCTCTAGCATCAAAACTGGGAACACAGCACTGCACAGCAAAGATCATTTCTTGGAATTATTCACTTACATGTTTACAAGAAACAATTATCAAGTGTCCCAGTCTGATTCATAAGTGTAATTAATGAAAGAATTGCTAAGAGTTTCCATTTTCTGGTTTGTTTTAATCCTACTATGTAAACTTTTTTTGGGCACCACTTCAACAAAATTCCACCCAGTGATTAAAGGAGGTAAATGTTCATAAAGCAAAAATGTTATTGAGATTTAAACTCGCCAGGCTGTACTGCAAACCCAACTCAGACATAATCCTTATTCGATGCAAACCACCCTAACAAAACAAAAAGAAAACAGTCAAGCTGCTGCCAACGACTCATACTTTTGGACAGTCAGGAAGATGTGCTAATTGATTTGTCCTTTGCTATTTGTTGGATGAAATATGTAACTGAAAATGCCCCTGCTGTCCCAGAACGAGGAAGACATAATGAACTCTGGCTTGCCAGATTATTCTGCCACATCTGAAGGTTTGCAAAGATAAATAAACAAATTAAATAGCTCTTGTCTGGCTTTTCTAGTCAATTTTCATTACTGTAAGGATGGATGCAGCAAGATAAATGTTTCCTTTTTACTTCAGGACTGAAAGGAACACAAGTTTCCCTGCTGCCTTTTATGTTTAAGCTCTGAGGTCCACGGCCTATTCTTATTCACCAACTGGAAAAGATTCGTCTGCAATGGCCAGCTTGATGTTTTCTGCTTAACTCCCAAAGTCCCCATTTGAAGTCATTCTCTTCCACTTAAGGAGACATTTCATTTTTCCTTTAATTTAAAAAATGTTCTGAATGCGAAGCAACATTGTGAGGACTGCTAGGTCACCTAACATAAATTCTGTGTGTGACACTCTTCAGGCTGTGGCTGCACATGGTCGGCTCTGCTAAGCTCACAAGCTGCCAGGCAACCATGTGGGGGGAAAGCTTTAAGCGCATGACATGTGTCCAAGCTCAAGTCAGACCTGAAATCTAAAGTGAGTGCCACAAGCATTTGGTCTTAAAATGGCTCGTGGAATTTAATCTTGTTAAGCAAATTCAAGCTGGGCAGTTGCCCATGATGACCCAATGGAAAGTTCTAGAAAAAATATCTTTAACTGAGTGACCCTGTGCGGATCAAGACGTTCTGCCCATCTTAGCGTTATTACTGGCTGGGACTGAAAATCAAAGCCTGTTCTCCCCACTCTTCATCCCGTTACAGCCTCCAATTATTCAAGGCTTCCTTAGAGAAATGCCAGGGTAAGCATTCACATGGTTCATACAGTGAACATTTCTCCACGAATCCTTAATATGGTAGGAAAATTGCTTCACAAAGAAGCCCTGTCTAGGAACATGGTATGAAATAAAGTAATTTCTGATTATTTGGCCCCTCACAAAGGAAAGGACCCTTCATTTATGAGGCGTTAATAGAAAGATATCATAGATAACTGAAATCCACAGGACTCTCCTGTTTTGACCACTGGTTTGCAAAATAAATATTTAATACAAGTTTCTACTGGAAAATGAAGTGTCCCTTCTTGTGGAGCTAACAACAGTGGACTAACCCAAAGGGAGGTCATAGGAGATTCCAGGGCAGGCAAGAACCCCAAACAATACACAAATAGAATGATCAGTCATCAGTCCAGGGCTGGCAGAAACCGTTCAGTTCAACCTTATTCTGACAGTTTTCTCGAAGCAGCATTTTGGCAGTTATGAATAAAATTTTCCTGGGGATTAAATAAGGAATGATGTAAAATCAACTCCATTTGGCCATGAGGAGAAATCTCTCCTATTAATGCACTGTTAACTTATAATGTGCTTGCTTAAAAGGGAAAAAGCAAATCAACCATCTATATAAGATAGAGAACTACTGGTAAATGACCCAGTTATCCTGATTAGAAAATTGCATGAAAAGAACACTGACCCTCTGCTCCCGAGATGAGCTGGCAGAATTGTGCTCGTCTCTTGTTCCTTGATGTCACAGAAGCCTCCATCATAAGTTAGTTGAAGTGGGTGACTCTTCAGGTGGCCAATGACATTGGATTTTGTTAAATAAATCCCATTGACTTTCACCATGGAGTTCCCCATTATAATTGCTTCTGAGGATTCCACTGTCTTCTTTGCTGCAAAAGCCAAGAAAATGTTTTGTCAAAGCATTATTTATTTATTATTTATTTATTCATTATTTTTTTTGAGTTGGAGTCTCACTCTGTCGCCCAGACTGGAGTGCCGTGGCACGCTTCCGGCCACCACAGCCTTGACCTGCTGGGCTCCGGCAATCCTTCCACCTCAGCCTTCGAAGTAGCTGGAACTACAGGCACATGCTACCATGCCCAGCTAATTTTTGATTTATTGTAGAGATGAGGTCTCACCAAGTTGCCTAGGCGGGTCTCGAACCCACAGCCTCAGGCAATCCACTCACCTTGGCCTCCCAAAGTGCTGGGATTACAGGTTGAGACGCCAAGCCCAGCCATATTTTTTATTTTAGGAATCACTACCTTTCAATGTTATTTTTCAATCTAAGGATTTACACCATTTAAAAGTGTTATATTCCTTATAATGAAGTCTAGATGTTTACAGCCAAAGCCTCTCTGAGCACAATCAAGACCTCATCACTATTTTAGGCTCGGCACCATCAATTCTGCAGGTGAAAATAAACAGGGGCTTATCTTTATGAGCTTAGAGTCTACCTGAAGGCAAACACTTGACTTGAGGCTTATGAATGACATGGTCCATTAAGTGTTTCTGTGTCCCCCAACAACAGGTCTTCTTCCTGACTTCATGTTCGCAGTTTTTTGCTCCAAGAAGATTTGAGTGCCTCTCCAATGTCAGGCACTGTCCTAGGCACCTGGTGTGCATCAAAACAGAGGTCCCTGACCTCCTAGGGCTTACATCCTAACAGGCATAAACAATCAGCAAACATCATAATAAAGAAGGGATGGGATGTGCTGTAAGATGGAAGTACTACGGGAGGAACGTGGAGAAGGGAAACGGGACAAAAATAGTGTGGGGATTACAAGGCAGGGAGGGTGAACCCTTAATGGGGGTGAGGCGTCCAGCCTTCAGAAGACAAGGGACAGGATTTCTAGCAGAGAGACTGGATGATGTGGAGGCCTGGAGGCAGGCTCAAGGCATAGTGGGACTGGAGTGTGTGGGGGGCGGGGCGTGGTCGCCTGGTAGATCACGACTGTGCGGCAGGAAGGGGAGGGCGCTGGAACATTCACACAGCTTTCTACAGAAGAGTCAGGTAGAGCTGCAAGGTACTCCAACTCTGAACTGAAACATGTACTGTGTTTATGCAGATTCCTAGATGTATAATAACAAAGCACCTTCTTTATCAGCAGATCGACATGAGGAACAGCTTCTCATCATGCTGCTACTAGACTGCAGTCTGTTATAAGACATTTTATCAAGGGGGAAGAGAGTGAACCTCTAGTAGTATGGGGGAGGGGCAGGGATGAGTTTCCTATAGAAAAATCCTGATTGTTTTGAAAGTTTTTCCAAAGGCTGGGCGTGGTGGCTCATGCCTATAATCCCAGCACTTTGGGAAGCCGAGGTGAGAGGATTGCCTGAGCCCGCGGGTTCAAGATCGACCTGGGCAACTTGATGAGACCTCATTTCTAAAAAAAAAGAAAAAGAAAGTTTTTCCAAAATGACTCAAGCTGTCCTTTTCTGCACCTACTGATCAACCAACAAACCAATGAAAACTAACTAAGCAAACCACCTCTTCTGCTCCTCTGGTCAAGCTCCCTGCTTCTGAAACACTGACTTTTAAGACAAAAAGGAATCTTAAGGATGGGCTGGTCTAACCTTTTTTTAAGATGAGAAAATTGAGAACCCAAAGGTGAAGTGACCTTGGGTCGCAGGGGAGCCAGGCCCGTGAAAGTGGGAAGACACAGGCTTCCAGTTCCAGGATTCCGAGTGGGCTATCAGAGCATCCGCTGTGTGCCATGAACAGGTTGCTCAGCTCTCCCCTCCCCTTTTCCAGTGGTCCCCACCTCTTGGGGATGTGGCCTCGTAAGGTGACTTATATGCTGCTAGTGCACTCAACACCAAGAAGTTATTCTCACTATTACTGGAGCCCAATAATCCTGACTTCTGGCCCAGGGCTGTCTCTGTGGCCCCACTCCACCTTAAATAATCCATTACTGAATTACAAAGCATGCATTCTGCTGTGGATGACAAAATATTTTTGGCCTATCGCTATCTTTTGGCATGTGCTTCTTTCATTCATTCATTCCCTAGCTGTTTATTAAGCCCCTGCCATTATGTGCCAGGTGCTGTTCCCTGCACTGGTGAACCAGGCATCCTGGAGCTTCTAGAAGGGAATGACAACCGTACCTGTAGGTGGGGAAGCCATGCCCTCCAACTTCATGATCTATGTGAGTGAGCTTGTCAGATATTACCATGTGGAACAGCCACCCTGGAGCTTGCTCTGACTCCTGACGAATGTCCCCCTCTTAAACTGAACATGTGTACCAATGCTCAGGGTGTCCCTGGCAGGTATCTGCAGCACGTTAGACTAATTTTGTAATGGTACAATGGGTAAACTGCACAAGGAAATAGCTTTTGGTGTCAGCATTATCCGGCAGGCGCAGTTCAGTTTCGCAAATGATTCTTAGATATCTGTGATAGATCACACCCTGTTTCAGGCTCTGGGGCTGCAGGTAGAGAAAAGTGCTTTTCCCACTGAAGTTGCTCAGTCTTGCAGGGCAGACAAGAGGCAGATGTGTAGAGAGATAAACATGGCCCAGCATGGCTGAGACTGGTAAAGAGGGGATAGAGAGCCCAGAAGACTTAAGGGCTTGGGAGTCAGCCAGGGAGGGATTTGTAGAGTGGGGCCTGAGAAGCATTTATAAGGGTTAACAAGAAGCAAATAGTTCTGAAGAAAAGGAACAGGAGTCTGGAGTCAAAGTATGGATTGCCTATAAAGTCAGGCAGGGCCTTACTTTTAGAAGGGCACTGCATTGCATTGAATGTTCTGTGGTGGCTACCTTGAAACTCACGTGTGTTTTTTTTTTTTTTGAGTCAGAGTCTCACTCTGTCACCCAAACTGGAGTCTAGTCGCATGCTCACAGCCACCACAGCCTCGACCTGCTGGGCTCAAGCAATCCTTCTGCCTCAGCCTTCCAAGTAGCTGGGACTATAGGCACATGCCACCGTGCCCAGTTAATGTTTTTATTTATTATATAGAGATGAGGTCTTGCCAAGTTGCCCAGGCTGGTCTCAAACCCCTGGTCTCAGTCCTCCCAAAGTGCTGGGATTACATGCATAAGACACTGTGCCTATAATAATTTTGAACAAAGAGCTCCACATTTTCATTCTGCCCTAGACCCAGCAGATTATACAGCAAGTCTTGCCTGAGGCTTGAGAGGGCAGGATGGGTGAGGGGAACTTCGAGGGGTTCCACCCTACTGGTCACAACTATAAGGTGGCAAGTGAAGGGGAGGCGAACGGGGCCTGGAATGATGGGCTAGGGCTGGGTGCCCAACACCACTGTACACTCAGAGGGGCTGGGGCTTCCTCCCCTGGACTCAGCAAGCTACAGCCTCACCAGACCTGGCCTATCTCCTGTTTTTGTATAGCCTGAGAATTAAGAATTTTTATATATTTTTAAACGGTTGGGGGGAAAAAAATCAAAAAAAGGACAGTATTTTATAACAAATGAAAATGATATGAAATTCACATTTCAGTGACCATAAATCGCAACCAAAAATTGGCAGCTATTTGCATGCTACAATGGCAGAGCTGAACGGGCTGAGAGAAACCATGTGCATCACAGGTTTAAGACATGCACCATCTGGCCCTTTGCAGACCAAGTTTGCTGACTTCTGTAGTGGGCTAATGTTTCCCAAACTGTGTTCCCAAAGGATTGATCCCACAGTCAGGTAGGTTTGTGAAATGCTGAGTTGAGTTAAAATTAAACAGATTCCTCTGCCAACACTTTAATACGCTCGTGTGCACTGAGCCCGTCCATGAGGGTGACCAGCAGGCTGTGCTTCCCTGACTTATTTGAGCACTGAACCCTTCTTCCAGGGAAATGCTGTTAATGTGTTGCCACAAGTGTTCCCTGGAATTCCCTGGAACTCAGTTTGGTAAACACTCCTGCAGGCAGGGCCCTCTGAAGGGTTTTCAGCAAGGGGATGGTGTGATTGGATTTTTATTAGCTTCCTGACCGCTTGTGCTTCACGGAGCACACAGAAAGTGGCTGCTTTTCACGGTCCCCGATAAAGGGGTAAGGCTGCTGCCCACAGCCGAGTCCTGCTGGAAGCTTGGCGTCCCTAGGCTCTGCTGGCTGCCCCTCGGGCTGAGGGCCTTGCATTGACCCACCCGCAGCCACCACAGCAGAGGAGAGGGACAGGGGCAGGCATGAGGCAAGAGGTGACAGAGGCAGTGTGCCAGTGGTGGGGAAGGAGAAGGCAGACTCAGGAAGGCCAGGAAGTATATAGGTACCGACAACTCTGGACTATAAAAGCGGACCGTGAGGCCTGATGGATGAGCAGAACCATTTTAGAAAGACCTCGAGTCCGGCTCTGCTCCCTGGATTCGAACTCAAAAATAAACTTCTTTCTTCCAGTTCCCTGTCCCTTTGATTTACTGGTATCAAGGGGAGCAGCGGAGCGTTACTGAGAACACCTCCATAACACCACTATATTCGCGGGGTCAGCCCAGCCAGCAGCAGGGTCCTCCAAGGAGGGCTACCGAGAGTTAAACGTATGAGGGATGGACATGTCAAGCTCAGATGCGGGAACCAAGAAAGACAGCAGGGCAGGCGCCCTCCCGCCAGGCACTTCGTTCCCGCAGCTGGCCACCCTTTCTCCTCTACCTGGTCTGACACGGGACACGCCAGTGGGGGAACTTTTGGAAAATTTCTCAGGTGGTGCTCGCGTGCAGCTGCAGCTGAGAACCGCTGTCAAAAGGAAAAAATACATCATGTCGTTTCTCCCTTATGCAAACGCCACTCCGGCTTTTCATGGCCAGCCGGGCACAGTCAGGTCCGTGTCCGTGTTCCAAAGCCCTGCGTGGCCTTCTGGCCTCCGCTGCTTCCGCCTTCCCTCCAGCCACCTGGCCTTCAGGTCCCCCAGCACAGGAGCCCGCTCTCATCTTGGGCCTGGTGCTGGCTTTGCCTTCAGCGCGGACGCTCAATCGCAGGTTCTTACGTGGCTGCCTCCTCATATTTCACATCTCAACTCAGATGTCAGCTCCTCAAAGGTGCCTTTGGGAGCCACCTGAGCGAAAGTGAACGGTCCCACCACTGCCACGCTTTGTCCCGTTATCGCGTATCTCATTCAGAGCACTTGTTGGATCTCTGGCTCTCTTCCTCCTGGATACGCCTGCTGGTGTCTATATCCTCTCGCGAGACTGTAAGCGCCCTGAGGGCGGGACTCGGACTAGAATGGTGACTGGCACTTAGGAGGGGATCAGTAAATATCAGATGAATGGTGTTAGAAAAGACAAATCCAGCTGGGCGCAGTGGCTCTTTCTTGTAATTCCAGCACCTTGGGAGGCGGAGGTGAGAGGCTTGCCTGAGCTCACGGGTTTGAGACCAACCTGGGCAACACAGCGAGACTTCATCTCTCCCCGCCCCCCGCCAAAAAAAATTAGAAAGGTGTGGTGGCACACACCTGTAGTTCCAGCTACTTGGAAGGCTGAGGTGGAAAGATCGCCTGACCCCAACGAATTGCGGCTGCGGTGGCTGTGAGCATGCCACTGCACTGCAGCCTAGGCAACAGAGTGAGACTCCAACGACAACAACAAAAGAAACGCGTTGAGACATCAAGGTAAAGCAAGTTGCCTGACAATATACTTGGTCATGGCATCACTACGTGCTGTGTCTTTTCTCTTCTCTTTGATTCTACCTCCTCATCTCTATCTGGGATCAGACAGGCTAGGGAGAAGGGGTGAACCGCAGATCATACCCCCACCACAGGGGGCAGGTACTACTCAGCTCCAGTCATTTCCCTTCGGGGCTGCACAGAATAGGGACCTCAAATATATAAAGGAAAAAGAAGAAGAAGGAAAAAAAAGAAAAAGAAACATGGACTCGGTGTCACCAGATTTTCTGATTTTTCACAGAAAGTCACAATCTGGACTCTTCCATGAGATTCTTCTACTTTTTCAATGTTGGGGACCAATCAAAAGTGCTTCTATGTCCAAGAAGTATGATGCTCAGGTGGAGGCTTGTAATATTTGGGATCTGTCTTCAGACAGTCTCTATCTCTCTGTGACTGTAAGCCTCTCTCTCTTTATCAGTCTTTGTGGATTGAGGGAGGGCCAGTTTTAGCCACTCCTGGCAAAATGGTCTTCTAACTTTTTTGACCACACACCGTGAGAAATCAATTTTTAATATGGAACTGAACATACTGAAGATCAAGGTGAAGTTTCTTACAGCAATACTTTCCTTTATTGTGCGTGATGTGCCCTGTCTCCATCATGTTCTAGTCTACTTTAAATAAAATGCTGGTGTGATCCACTAAATTAATTGTCAACCCAGTAACAGGTGCTTTCTTGCAGTTTGAAAACCCTTAGTATGCCCAGATGTGAGCTGATTCCAGTTGTTGGTGGCATTGCTTAGGATGTGGCAATGGGAAAAGTCTCATGCAAGTTTTGCTTACATGTTCACATGGGATCAGAAAGATGTTTTCAAAGACCTAAGCTTAGTGTACACTTTAAGAATCTTATAATTCTCAGTAGTTTCTAATGAAATTAGCAACTGTTATGAACTCTAATTTAAAAATCATTTATTTCTGATATATACAAACCCTCTATTAGGAAATACCCTAATATTCTTTTCCTACAAAGTAATGTAGGGGTATTCTTTAGAAACACCCAGAAAAATGTACGAACAATATTTCTTAACAAGCTTTTACCCAATATTGACTAGGTCTTAGTTCATGTAAAAATAATCTGAGGTTAGGCAAACTCATATAAAAATAGCTTTTGTGTGCAAATTCAAGAAGCATGCCTGTCCCCAGAGTGTAAAGGATGTTACGTGGCCTTACAGTCAGAGGGAGGAAGGGAGTCCGGCAGGAGGGCTCCCTGGGAGGCCGCCCTGAATAAGCGAGCCCGGGCGCTGCTTATTCTTCTAATCTTCGCAGGGTCCACTGGGGGTTTAGGAAAGGAAAGGCAGGGATCCTCCTCCATGCTGGGAGACGCTGGAGCTTTCGGTTTCTGGAAAGAGAGTTTTCAAATTTGGCATGAGTTTCTGGGTTTCAGGTAAGACTTACCACCCTGGAGCTGGTCCCAAGGCTTCTGGAGGAACACAGGGGCTGTCTCCTTGGCTTCCTCCTGGCCCCAATTCTATCATCAAGTTGGCCCATCTTACTTAATGTGATCTGTGCAGATATAAACATTCTTAAATTGGTTTTGTCAATTATACCACATTAACTACTCTGCTATGCTCCTTAGCATATTTTGAAAAACAAAATAAAACAGTTTACCATGCTGGCCAAAAGATATTATCTGTATAAGAGACTGTAAAAGTAAATGTGTTATATTCACATTCTTTGCAAACTTTCCTGTTCAGTTTGGTTCAGGAAACACCTCCTGGGCACCTGTATGTGCCAAGAATTATGTGGAATATAAGTGCCACCTTTACATATTTTGGACTCCACAGAAATATTTTTTAATATCAAAACTTTAAAATAGCCGGGCTCTGAGGCTCAGCCTGTAATCCCGCACCTTGGGAGGCCAAGGTGAGTGAATTGCCTGAGCCCGCGGGTTCGAGACCCACCTGCGCAACTTGGTAAGACCTCATCTCTACAATAAAAATCAAAAAAATTAGCTGGACGTGGTAGCGTGTGCCTGTAGTTCCAGCTACTTGGAAGGCTGAGGGAGAAGGATCGCCAGAGCCCAGCAGCTCGAGGCTGCGGTGGCTGGGAGCAGCCACTGCACTCCAGTCTAGGCGACAGAGTGAGACTCCAACTCAAAAAAACAAAACAAAACAAAAAAACAACATAAAAGCAAGACATTGTCTTGGGCTTGTGATATTAAAATGTTTTACTTTTTACACCTCAAGAAGTCAATGCTGCTACTCTTTATTGTATTTTCCCTCCTTTTCATAGGTGTTGATGCTGACACTCTTGGAACTTTACTGACAAAAGTCCAGTTCCTGAAAGGCTTTTTGAAAATGCCTGCACCAAGCTCTGCGCCACCAAGAGCTCTCTCTGAACTAACCTATAGATGGTGACGACCTTGGACCGGTGTTAGAACTTGCTGGGGACTAAGCTTCTGGCTTGAGTGTTGCCTGGTGGACTTATCCTTACTGTTTCCCACTGCAACACGACTATTTGTCTATGGAAGAACACTCTTACGGCAGCAAGCGCTTTTAGCTCTAACCAAAAATAATCAAGTCACTTTCCTAAAGTCACTTTCATATGTGCAAGGAGTGACTCACTACCCAATAAGTTAATCAACAAATTTTTAAAAAATCTAGTGTGAAATCCAAGTCATATAATTTGGAAAAATAAGTGAAGTCATCTATCACGTATGACGCATAATCTCAAACACTTGTTTTCTCACATACACAAATAGAACATATAGAAATATATGTTAGAGTTGTCCTTCCAAGAAGTTGTTCATTTCAATCATGATGACATTCTTCAAAGTGTTTTTTATGTCCTCACGTGCATTTGTATCTAGGATCAGTTTATAAACCAGATTTAAAAATTAGTTTTATGGCATTAGAGATACATTTTTCTAAACACAGTTAGGAAAAAGGGAAAGTAGAATAATCAGTGTAATATAGGAAAAAGAGTAAACAGGCCGGGCATGGTAGCTCACACTTGCAATCCCAACACTTTGGGAGGCAGAGGAGAGAGGATTGCTCTAGGCAACACAGCGAGACCTCATCTCTATGATAAAATTTTAAAAATGAGCCGGGTGTGGTGGCACACACCTGTAGTTCGAGCTACTTGGAAAGCTGAGGTGGAAGGATTGCCTGAGCTGCCTGCGCCCAGTAAGTTGAGGTTGTGGTAGCCGTGAGTGTGTAACTGCCTCTCCAGCCTGGGTGACAGAGTGAGACTCTGACTCGAAAAAGAAAAGAAAGAGTAAATCACTTTGGGATTCAACAGTCCTGGAGGGGAAGCTGCTTCCTAACTGTGTAACTTGTGTAGGCCATTGACTTCTCTGTGCTTGCCAGCTATAATATGGAGACAGTGGTGCCTTCTTACAGAATCGTCGATGTAAATGCAATGCTTGTTATGGAAGCTCAAGAAATGCTAGTAGTTCCTGTCCTTATGCAAGCTGCTCCCCCTTATTTATCAGATTTGATTCCAAGTTACTTTTAACTCTTCTCAAAAGTCAAGGCCCTAGCCTCTGACACAACCTTGCTAGAATAAAGACACTGGATTCTGAGGGGGTCTATTCTGAATAAGAGGACACTCGTTTGTATATTATAAATTGTGTTCTGTTTAATAGTCTACTTTTGGTCTCCCTAATTTGTTGCAAAATATTCAAAACAATGTAACTTAGGCTATGAAGTTAATAGTAACAGAAAAGCCAAGGATATAATATAGAAAAATAAGTGTTTTATATATAATTATAAAAAGTGAAAAACAGGCTTATCTTCATTTTGAAAGTAGAGATGAGGTTTTCTTAACTCAAAATGCCTGTGTTCAGCAGGAACATTGGCACCAAAACAAAGAGATAAATCTTTCTAATAATAATAACAATAATAACTCAGATAAAGTAAATGGTTCCTTTTTAAAATGCTTGAACCGTTATAAATGTTTTGGGTACTAAATAAACAATCTTATAAAAATGGAAAATATGGCTTGGAAAGTTAATTTTCCCCAAAAGAGAGTAACTGAATTATCTCTGGAGGGTAAGATAAAACCCCACAATTGTTCTTTGATAAAAGGCATTACTTCCTTAGTGCAAAATTAGTAATTATTTGTATAATAAAACTTTAGTTCCATTTTACTACAGCCCTTTAATAAAGTATTTATCCCATTAAACATGTACCTCCCTAGACTATGTAGACTACAAAGTGATACATGTAAAGCATTGTTAATTCTTAAAAAGAACTAAAACGAGTCAGCAGTTTCTTTCATGCCAGGTTTCTTCCATTTTGTGGAGCCAAATGGCTTTTACAAGAAAAACCAGTAACATTTTTTTCTATAAAATTCAAATAATTTTAGAAATCAGAGAATGTTGCAAATAAGTTTAAATTTTTACTTGAGAGCCTCATCTATTCACATTTTGTTTCATGACACCAACCCATGACTTGAGTATCATCAAGGACATGGGACAGCCAGATTTTAAGAACTGTTTGGCTAATGAAACTGCTAGAGTCCATTGAAGACACAAGGACTATTTCCACAGGACAACCCAGCTAAGAAAGACACCACTGAAGGGATCCACTGGCCACGACTCCCCCTTGACCAATTTCTGCCCTGGGTCCTCCACATCACCCGATGTGGTCTGGCCCACCATACATGAAGACTGAAAAGGGAGTCAAGAGACAGCCCACCCCAGAAAGTTGCTCATGATATAATTTGTAGGCCAAGAGCACACACATACACACACACTCAATAAAAGACACCTTGGGAGTCAGAAGGCAAACCTTAAACATTCTCCCGAGCATGTAACCTTTGAGATGTGGCAGTTCCGTGTGCATTCCTACTACTGTGGTTTCCGCCACAGGTTCTCTGGTCCCCACTGTCACCCTCACAATGTGACTCAGTGCTGTCAAGTTGCCATTCCTTTCAGAAATGGTGAAAGAGAAAACACTACCTTGACTCTACTTTTCTTACCCATGCCCAAAGTCATCGAAATTTCTACATCTTTTTCTTTTAGAAATATATTACATTTTGTTTTACTTGTTGAATACTTGGAGCTTGGCTCATGCAAAAAATAAAAAGCAGCCCAAATAAACCTATCCTGTTAGAAGTCACTACAGTGGTTGTCCTGTGGCAGCAGGGCTGAGGGGGGACTGATGACAGCTGCTGACTCCAGAAAAGACCTCTTGGATGATGCTGGCAGTGATCTGTATTTTATTTTGAATGCTGATTATTGAGAGTGTTTAGTTTGTGTAAACATACTGAGCTGCACTCTTATGATCTGTCTCTTCTGCATGTCAATAAAAAGTTGAATAAAAATATTTGGGACTTACATAACTGGGCTTTGTAAGTTTAGGAAACCAAAGGAGAATTTTGTTTTGATGATAATAATGGTGACAGACAAAATTTTCTATTTATTCACATGGTCACATCTCTTTTCTGACTCTATACAAGCCAAAATAAGAGAGCAGTTATATCTGTGTCAACCACCTGGAACACCAGCTAACTTGAATAGCAGAATCGAAACAGAATAACTACTACCCAGGTGCCCCCAGTCTCAGTGCTCCTGTGGGATGGTAGGAAGCTGCTGAGACGCAATAAAGACGTGAGCTGGCCTACCTATACAGCAGATAGACAGACACACTATAGAGGACTACCAATTACAGTGACTTCACCTCTGTCTCATAAGATCACAGGTGCTAACAGGGACCCCACTGAGCCTGTCAGGCTGGCAGCCAGAGCCTGGGCAGTCAGAAACCCAGGGTATCAGCTTTTCTGACATTCTCAGAAGCTCTGGGCATTTCCAAGTGTAGGCATCCCACTGCCTGCTGCAGGGTGTGTGTATGTGGGAGGAGGGGGTAGGCCAGAGAGGAAGGGGAGAAACACAGAGATGGAAACTGACAAGAGCAAAGAATGTAGCTAATCTGTTCATTGCAGAAGCTGAAAGGAAACGGGTTCTCTGGACCCCTCTTCCCTGACTGATTGCTGGTTGAGGAATTGTTAAAAGGCAAACCAGTCTGAGAAAGTGTCCTAGATCCCCAAAGTACTGAGATTCCATGGCTTAGGGCTTCACCAGCTCTCTCAGCAAGTGTCTCTTAACTGCGAGACACCCCTTCCACGCTCCTCTTCTCCCTTTCCAGCTGTCTCCTCCCCTCACTCTATCCCGCCAATGTCTCCTTATCTTCTTTCAAAAGTGAAATGAAAAAGAAGAAAGAAGGTAAAAGTTCAGACAGGATGAGGCCATTTTCAGAGTTTTTTGACTGGGAACCTCAAATTTTCATTATTATTTAAAATGAAATGTACGTAAGACCCTTAAATAACCCACTATAACAAAACATCTCAGACCAAAGCAATCATTTTACTTAAAAATGGGGATTTCTCAGACTACTT